CTAATATCAGTAATTGGATAACTAAGACAGGTAATAAACTTGACAAATTAGAAACCCGAAAAAGTCGCACCACAACAAAAAACCAGAAAACCAAAAATACAAGTCATGGAACATAGAAGGTGCAAACCTGCCAGTTATGCTCTCGGATTGGATTCTATGAAGCAGCGTTGTCGTTTTCCCGGCAAACATGGGACCTACGATGACATGAATCTCGCCGGACGGTGGCGAGGTAGACTGAGAGGCCTCTGTCTGCGTATTTCTCTTCGAAATTGAATGAATTGGGAGCACTGGTGAAGGAATTCTGAGTTTCACATGGAGAAATTTGGGGGGTTGAAGAGGCCATGGATTGCGAAGCTTTGAGGCAGAATAAAATAGAGCAAAAGGTGCGGTTTTTGGGAGGCAAAGAGAAAGTGGTGAAACCGTTGGGGATATTAAGGACTTCATTCTCGAAATAGCAAACATTGACCCTTTGGGAGGAAGGGGTTTTAAAAGTTTAGTCTTGTTCCATAGTGAAAACTGGCATGGCTGCTAATTCTAGGGTTTAAGGTTCTGAACCCGGGAGAGTGGAGGAAATGGGAACCAGGGTTTAAGGGTTTTTGCTCAGCTAACGCATACAGAATCCCCAATTTTCTAACTTGCGCAGAACAGATTAAAGCCATTTTTGATCTTTACCAAAAAAAAAAAAGCCATTTTTGATCTTTTTCATTTTTTTCCCATTTTTATTCTTTTTGGGTTTGCTTTTTCGAAAATGAATATTAGCATAGTACATTAATTTTGGCTAAAAAAAATTAATAAATAAACGAGGAAAGTGGGCCGAAGATAGTAACGTTAATTAGGCAAGTCTTTATCTCTTCTAAATGCCGTTTAATCTGCTTTAGAGCATGAATTCAAAGTTACTAACCAATAATAAATCAATATTTGAGCTTTAAAGGATTTCTTAAATGATTAAAAAATTTACATTTTAAATTTAAAAAATCTTAAATTTAAATTTTAAACCAAATGAAAAAAAATAAGAGAAGAGAAAAATTATTTCGAATTATATATTTTATCACAAAAGATATTTCTAATTATAAATTCTATATAAAAAAAATGATAATAAAACAAGATTTGATTAGCTTGCATTTTGAACTAAATAATCCATGGTTGGTTATGATGATCCTGATCCCCAATCCATTTACATTATAGCCAAGTATTTTTTTTAATGCAACTCTTTGAATGTATGCTTAGTGAAAATTTCTATTTTCATTTGATCGTTCAGGTCTAGTGGTATTAATCTACGTTTAAATACATTTTCTCTTTTTGGGTAACAGTTCAAATTCGATCATTTGTAAAATTATTTAAAAAAAAAATTTTTTTCCATTTTATGCTAACTTTAAAAAAAGACATTAAAAATCGCCAATATAAAAGAGCAGTTACAAACTCGCACTTATATTTAATTATAAGCATACGTTTTATATTCATGTAGTTTATTGGATGCACACAATGTGGAAATTGGTTGTTAAAATAACATTTTTGTGAGTTTCATATACTAATATTATACCATTAGAAGGCAGAAATTATATACAAATAATGTTACATATTGATTATTAATATGTCAATAATATCAGAAAAATGATCAATGTTAAAATGTTGGAGGAAACTAATATTCAACCTCCGTTACTCAAGTCAATAAACTTTCTAGATCAGAATGACAAATTGAGTCAATAAAACTAAAGAACAATTGCAGAGATAAAGATCAACGGAGAAGGAATAAACTTCTGTGAAACTACCATAAATTCACAATGATAGAGAAGGTGAGAAAATGCAGCATGCATACTACTTCTTATTAAGTGGGGTTTTGTGTTGGGATTATGAATAATTTTTTTCTTTTCATTTTAGAATAAAAAGAGTTTTGAATAACTTCATTTATAAAATTTTTGGAAACTGCATTTTATAAGAGAAGCAAATCAAACCTACTAAAATTTGCATTCCTCAAAACGAGAATAAGTAGTTTATATATATACATATATAAAAAAGTATATATTAATTTTGACT